TTTTTTTTTTTTTTTAAACCATCTTTCAGCTTGACTCCTCACCTGACCTGAGGCCAGGTGACCTCTGACTTCACCACCAGTCTTTGCATTCATTGTGCTCCCTTGCCTGGAACACCCCCTCCTCTACCAGGCCTCCAGAAACTTCTACTCACTCCTCAAGGGCCAACTCACAAGCGCCCAAGCTCTTCCTCCACTTTCCCCAGGCACAGCCAATAGCTCAAGGCTCCCAGGGACATTCATTTGTTCACACTTTCACTGATGACAACACTGTCCTTGTCAAGGTCACTGACGGCCTCCACATGGCCAAATCCAGTGGTCCCCTTGCTGTCCCATCCCGCTGGTCTGCTCCGCGGCCACTCCTAGTTGACCCCCAAGTCTTCTGGAGACACATTCTCCTTCTGCCCTCTGCAACCCCTCCCGCCCCCTCAGCTGGCTCTTCCTCCTTCCCCCACAGCCTGGAGGCACGGGGGCCTTGGGCCTCTTCTCCGCCTGCACTCAGCCCCTGCGGGCACTCTGCCAGCATCTGAGCTTCAAATACCTCTTCTACTGAGAGGACTCCCAGATTTCTATCTCCGGCTGCCTTCCCGGACTCCACACTTGGATTTGCAATTTCCTGCTTGGCACCTCGCCCTGGCTCTCAGGCAGGCAGCTCAAGCATCTCCCCCCAGCCGCCTCTTCCCACCCCTGTTAATGGCCACCTTGTCCCTTCCATGAAAGCCTGAGAGTTGCCACCGACAGGCCCTCTCTCACCTCCACAGCCGAGCTGACAGGACACGCTGGCCGCTCGCCTCGTACAGCTCACCACAAATCTGACCATTTTTCACCGCCTCCACTGCCCTACCCAGTCTGGGCCACCATGCTCGCCTCCTCTCCGGTCCTCCCTGCCCCCATCCACCCTCCTTGTAGCTCACCAATGGCCCCTCGTGGCCTGTAGAACAAAACCGCGAGTCCAGACCACGGCCCTGCAGTCTACACCCCCTCCTCCCACCTCTGAGCTGCCACCAACTACTTTTCCTCGGATCAACCTTCTCCAGCCACACTGGCTTCCCATCTGTTCCCTGGGCACACACCAGCCTCTGGGCCTTTGTACCTGCTGTTCCCTGCCACCCCTCCCCCAGACACCTGCCTGGCCTCTTCCCTCGCCTCCTTCAGGTCTCCCTGCAAATACTTTTCTAGAAGGGCCTTCCCTGCCCGTTCTCTTATCTTGGTTTTGCTTCCCAGCATTGCATCGTTGGTCCATGTTTATTAACTGGGCACCTTTTCATGCTTCCGCCTCCCCTGGTTTTCGGGGCCCGTCAGAGGTGCCGGGACCTCTGGGGAGACAGTGCTGGGCTAGAGGCAGGCCCTGCACACTGGCACGATGCCTGGCCTCCTGCGTGTTAACACACAAATCAGGGTGGCTACTTAAATCGATTAGGGACTTTGCAAGCACCACTATCAGGAGATTGTCTGCTCTTATCAGCCCAGAGGCAAAGGTGTGGGATGGGGGAGCTGGTGTCACACGCTGTGACTGGACAGCCCGAGCTCCTGAGCCAGGGATGGGAAGTTCTGACCCCAACCAGGGAAGGGAGGTGGCGACCTGCCTGGGACACCCAGGCTCCTGGCTCACACAGCACACACCTGGGCTCCCACACGTTCTCCTCCCGGTGCTAACTGGACGCTGTCCGGCCCCTGCTGGGAGAGGCTGTGGCTTAAGAGCTGGGCAGGTCTGATCCCAGACTTGGCTGCTGCCCCGGGGACGGCCAACTGGCATGTCACCTGGCCTCTCAGAGGCTGGTGATCAGAGCCTCCTCACTAGGTTGACACCAGGAGTTAAAAGTGCCCAACGTGCAGCTCGGTGGACAGCAGGCACTTGGGAAATACCCGTTGCTAAACAGGGCGCTATGTCGGCGGGCCTCCTCCCCCGCTCGGCTCAGTCATCGGTCCCGCGGCAGCCACACACACCTGCATTTTGCCCATACAACAGCCCGAGGAGGCAGGTACTGCAAGCAGCCCCAAGGTACAGATGCGGGAAACAAGGCTCAGAGATGCAACAGCACCTGCCCAAGGCCCCACAGCCACGAGGCAGGAGAGCTGGGCCGGGGCCTGCTCGTCACCACCCCAAGATGGGGCACCAGGGCTCACGCTGGCCACATCCCTGCCCTTGAATGTAGTGCCCGGAGGCCGAGAGGCTGCAGGTGAGGTCTCTCTCACCCCTGGGCAAAGGGGGCATGTGTGGCTCCTGAGGTGGGGCCCAGGCTCCCCAGCACCGGAGGGGTTAACTCCTTGTCCTCCAGCTGGCCCAGCCCCAGCACAGGCCCACCCCACCGCAGACCCAGATGGCTCAATTAGCCAGCCTGAGCACTATTGGCTTAGGTGACCAGAGTGCTTTTAATGAGATTGTGGGAGCTGAACACTTGGGGAGAGCCAGGAGGGCGGACCAAGGGCACAGATGCCCCCTCCGCTTGGGAGCCCGGGGCAGGGGAGGGGATGAGTGCCTGAGCCTGAGGGCAGAGGGGAGGCCGGTGCGCGGACAGGAGGGAAACGAGTCACCCCAGGACGTGGGAGTGGAGATGGTGAACGAAGAACTATGTTGTGCTTCTGGCTCGAGGTGTGACGCTGGCCTGCCCTTCTCTAAGCCTCGGTTTGCTCATCTGCAAAATGATGACAAGTGTAGTATCCGACTCCCCGGCTGTGGACGGGGGAGGCCTGACCAATGGGAAACACGAGTAGGTACTGTAAGCTGCAGCTTGCTCATTCATTCGTTCCCTGATTCGATAAATATTTATCAAGTACCTACTGTGTGCCAGGCCTCATGCTTGGGGCTGGGCCGTAGCAGTGAACACACAAGAATGTCTGCTCGCAGGGATCTGAGATTTGAGTGGAGGCAGACAGATACTGAGCAAATAAATATATTGTGTAACAGTATGCTGAAGTGATGGTGTATGGCAGGGCTGCTATTTTTGAGGGGTAATCAGGGAGAGCCTCCCTGAGGAGGTGACCTCTGTGTAGAGACCCAGATGAGGAAGTGAATCAGGTAGGTGTCTGTGGGAAGAGAGCTCCAGGCACCGGAACAGCATGTGCAAAGGCCCTGAGATACCAGTGTGTCCAACAGTGCATGGCGGAGACACAATGAGGAGGCCCGTGTGGAGGGAGCATGCTGTCCCAGAGAAGAGTGGAGGGAGATGGTGTCTGAGGAGGAACTGAGGAGTCGGTGTCTTATTCTACGTATACAGAGAATGGGGGTGTAGCATGACCTCACCGAGGATCTAACGTGATCCTTCTGGCTACCAGCGAAGAACGGACAGTGGGGGCAAAGGGGAAGGTTGGGAACCAGGGAAGAGGCTCCTACAAAAGTCTGGGCAGGAGAGGCCAGTGGCCGGACCAGAGTGAGAACGGTGGAGGTGGAGAGTAAGGTTTGGATTCTGGGGCTTCTCCCTCTCCCTGCCTCCCACTCGTGCTCTCTCTCACTCTCTCAAATAAACAAATAAAATCATTAAAAAAAAAAAAAAAGTAGAGCCAAGGGCATTTGCTGAGGGCTGGATATGGAACGGAAGACAAAGAGAGGAACTGAGGATGATGCCCAGGGTTTTGGCCCAAGTAAGAGGAGGAACGGAGGTGTCACTGAGACAGAGGTGGGGTTCCCACAGCACGTCCTTGATTCGCATGTGCACACAGGCACGCACACACACGTGGGCATGCACAGCCACACACCGTGACCCACGTGTGCAAGTTGCCATCAGAGTGGCGCAGACAGTGGGTAGGTCCCTGACCCCTGGGGAACCCGAGGGAGGCAGAGAGCGGGGCCCCAGGCACTCACCGACACCCAGCATGACGAGGGGAGTGTGCTCCCAGTGGGCCAGCAGCAGGAGGTGGACCAAGTTGTGGGCGATGAGGCTGAGGCACAGGACCACGCAGCACCACTCCTGGAAGCGCTTGCCTGCAGGGACAGGAGGCCAGAGGTGAGCGCGGGGCTGATGGGGAAGGCCGCAGGGCTGGGACTAAAGCCAGGCAGGGCCGGACCTGTACAAGCTCTTCCATGTGTTCACAGAGTCTAACGTGCTCGGCACAGGTGGAACACAGGGGCTGCCATGAAGAAAAGGCCCCAGCCTACCCATTTCACAGAGGACGTCACTGAAGCCCGGAGAAGGGGAAGAGTCGGCCCAAGGCACCGGCCCAGGAAGCTGGCCTTGCACAGGCCAATTCTTTGGCAGATAGGACCAGAACTTGTCTCCTGGGCCCTTGTGGGCTCTTTGGAGAAGCTCCAGGGAACTTTAATGAGCCTTTTTTTAACTGACCTCATGGCATCACTTGTCCCCTTGTGTACGTAATTATTTGGAGGTGAAGGCTACCAACACCTTTTAACCCTAGAGGATCAGATCCTGTCCAACATCCATCAAACAAGGCTCCAGTGAGTCAGGGATTTAGGAGAAATGGGCCTTGGTTACCATTTCTAGGGCTCCTGCCAGGAGCAGGGGGTCTGGGAGCACGACACAGGAGAGGAGGGACCAGGCAGGTGATGTGGAGTAAGGTGGGCTGTGTGGGGGCTGTGGGATGTGGCACCCATGCCCTTTGTGAAGGAGGGTCACTAACATGCGGACTCCTGCCAGGTGGGAGGGCGGGCCCAGGGTGCCCGAGCTTCTTAATTCCCAAGAGAAGCCAGAAATCAAGACACGGGTGTGAAATCTTTTTAAATCTCCTGCCACATATTTTTAAAAGCCATGTGAGCTCAGACAAGCTGATTCACTCACTGCAGCTCCGTCTGAGGTGTCTTTTGGGGGGGTCTCAACACTGGAAACAACAGAAGTGTCCAGCGCCTGGGGGATCAGCCAAATTAATTTGGTCCATGGCATCCTTGCAGCCAGAAAAAAAATGCCTGGGCGGCTGTTTACACGTAGACATGGAGGTGTCCAGGACATACCGGTGAGTGCAAAAAAGCAAAGTGCTAACCAGCAGCCATTTATGTAAGAAAAGAAAAAGCTACCTGGTCAAGACTGGCTTTCACTTAACCCCCTTGGAATTTAGTATTTGTGAATGTACTCCTCTACCAAAAATCCTTTGTAATTTGTAAATTAAAATTTAAAAATATAAAAGGGAAGGAAAACATTGCGTGGGTGGTGCAGATTGCGCCACAGGAACCTGGGGGATACTGTTTTCCCAGGCAGCTGGTCCCAAGGGCATGGAAGACCCTTAATGGTAATAATTTTCTTATCATTAGTGTTTAACATCTACTGAGCTGTTGCTATGTGCCAGGTGCCTACTGAGGTGATGCCAATTTGCAGATCAGAGATCAGAGGGTCAGAGTGGTCCCAAGGAAGTAACCTAAGGCTGCACAGCTAGTAAGCTACAGACTAGGATCCTATGGCCGGGCAGGTCCTTGTGAGTGATGAACACTTGGAAGGGGACATGGCAGAGAGAGAGGAGTCCTCCTGTGTCTGTCCTCTCTTAGTGCTTGCTATTCCCTTCACTCGCCTCTGACCTCGAGTGACTCTGGCAATGCCCTTGCAGACCTCCACCTCCAGGAGGCCATCCATGATGCTCCCTCTGACTCTTGGACTCCCCCCAGCATAGGGCTGCCCCTATGACATCCATCTTCCCCGAGCCAAATGTGAACTCAGGAGGCCCAGGACCATGGCCGGCTTGCTCACCAGGGCCCGGGCACAGAGTTGGTACTCAATAAATGCCCGTGGAATGAATAAATTCGTAAAGAGGACCTTAGAGGACAACTGCCAGGCTTTGTCTGTGGGGGCACCTCACCAGAGCACCTTCGAAGGGAGTATCAGGCATTGCACTGCTCCTGCTAGGGAAATAGGCCCAGAGAGAGAGAGAGAGAGAGAGAGAGAGAAGGGCCTTGGCCAGGACCTACAACAGCACGCTGAGCCCTGGGCCAGAATCAGAACAGCTGCCCTCCCTTTGCCCGTAAAAAGACCAAGGGTCAGAGGGGGAAAGGGCCGCGCCCAGGGTCGCATCCCCTCGGCCCCCTCTTGTACAGATGAGGACACTGCGGTCCAGCAAGGGCGAGGACCCCGACAACAGCCCCACAGCTGCAGATGTGGGCCTAGAACCTCTCGCATCCCACTTCTTAGTGGCTGTTTCCCTTGGGCCATGTGACCCTGTTGCTCCAGCAGCCCCTACCTGGGGTCACTGTAATCCAGCCCCGCACGGCCTTCCCCTTTCTGGTTCCTGTTTGTGGCCCAGGCCTGGACTTAGAAGCAGAAGTCGGCAGGGGGCAGGTGGAAGGGGTAAGGAAAAGGTGATGCCTCAACGCCAGCCTGCCGGCCTGGCACACTAACATGATGGAGTAACAGTAACAGTGGCCGACGCACACTGAGGCCTAGCACAGCTGGGGTGCCAGGTGCAGCCCACATTAGAGATGCCGCAGACCAGCTCCCTCCAGCACATTTTGCTCTCGGCTTAAAAAAAAAAAAAAAAAGCTACATTAAAAAAAAAAAAATCACCTACAATTCCTAATCTCCTGCTTCCCTTGAGAACACAAGGCTCTGGGCACCCCAGGCCTGAGCAGCAGTGGCTGCCTGTCCCCATCAGATGGGGCAAGAGCTCCTGGTTCAGCCCAGTCTCCTCCCTTTCCTGTGGCCTCCTATTGGGTGGCTTCCTTTGGGGGCAGCAATCACCAGCATTTTGAGCTGGTCCCTCATTCAAGTCTCAATGCTTCCAGGGATGAGCTACGTGATCTCACTTCCCAGGTGAGGAAACTGAGGCTCAGTGGGTAGAAATGAAGAGCTGGGTTTGGGTCCTGGGCTCGTCAATGGGACACGTTAGCCTGGATGCTGGGAGCTGTCCTGGTTCTAAAGAGCGCCCAGCTCTTTCGGCTTGCCTTGGAGAATGACCCTGAAATCGGAATAGTTTCCCATCTAAACGCCATCTATCTTTGGCCTCTGGAATCTGGATCCTTCCCAGACCAAGTGCTTCAACTTTGATCCATAAAGAATACATCTATAATACTAAGTGGCCCTCACTGAGCACCTACTATATTCCAGTTACGGTGCCAGGGATGAGCTCAGCCAGCCCTTGCCATACACTGTGGGCTGGGGACCATTTGCCCTTTCCTTCAGAGGGAGAAACGAGGCCTGAGAGATGAAATGACTGGTCCAAAGTCACAGCATGGACAGTCAGCCCGGCCAGGCCTGTGAGGTCAGGTGGTCTAAGTAGTGTCACTATACAGATGGGCAGACTGAGGTCCGGGGGGGAGAGAAGGGCTTTGCTTAGGACATGAGCGCTCAGGCCATCTCTGGCAGAGTGCTGGGCCTTGTTTTCCTGAGCCAGCCCCTGGCCTGGCCAAGGTCCATGATATGGCCTCTGAGTTATGGCAGCGAATGCCTGTTGGCCTGGGGAGGAGATCGGGCTTGTGTGTGGTGGTTACGGAGGGCTGGGAGGAGCAGGGGAGGTCAGGCGTCAGGCCTCAGCCATCTTTGCTTTCCTGAGGGCAGGCCACGGCGGCCAAGGGCTTGGCATCAGGCCCGACTCTTCTTGTTTCAGTCAGACAAGCCCTGAATAACCTGCACTTTTGATGGCCCTTGGCGTTGGGGAGGTGGGGGGACAGGAGGCCGAGAAAAGGCAGGAGCCAGAGAGAGACAGAGGAAGTGAGAGAGGCAAACAGATGAGAGAACAGGAAGTAGAGACACAGAGAAATGAGAAATGGAGAGACAGGAAGAGAGGAAAAACAGAGACAAGGAGAGATTATAAGGAGACAGAGAAAAAAAGACAAAGAGCGTGGCCAGAGAGGAGAGACAAAGAAATGCAAAAAGAACAAGACTGAGGGAGACAGAGAGAAAACTCAGCCCAGAGTGGCAGGGACCAGGCCTGGCCTGGAAAGGGGCCCCAGGTCTCTGGGTTCAGTCAGACCCATTCTGGGGGACCGAATCCTTGCCCTGACCCCAAGCTAAGAGATCCTTGTATCCCCCAGGGCCAGAGGTACCTGTAGTTAGCCAGGGTGGTTTGAACAGCTGACTCCAATGACCCCTGAGGGTCCACTCCCGGAGCCCGGGGCACCTGAGATGTGGCACACACAGCCAGGTTTCAGCGGATACCTGCTGAGAAGCCGTGGGAAGCCTTACCTCTGGGCTTGCCCACGAGGCCTGCCAAGCCCACCAGGTCCTTCACAAATCCTGGCACGGGGCAGGCTGCTGCTGTGAACCCCGAACCCAGAGGGCAGCGGGCTAGGGGACCCTCCATGACTCCCAGGATCCGCAGGACCAGGCCCCAACTTCCTGGCCAGACACTAGGGGCCCACAGGAAAGGGCCGAGGCTGCCCCACTCCTTGGCCCTTGCTGTTCCCACCACCCAGTGATGCCCCGATCAGACTACTCACAGCTCCCTGCGGACACTAGGCCCACTCGCTCTGTCACCGGCCCTGCACGCATGCTGCCCCACTGACCTGGAACACTGGGCTCCTCCTGCACACCCACCCTGGGCTGGCTCCCTCCACAGTGAAGATTAAGAACACGGAACCTAGAACATTCCCCTCCTTCCACCAGTGTTCTGGTTCTGGCCCTGCTGCTAACTGTGTGATTGTGGGCAAGTCCCTACTCTTTGCTAAGCCTCAGGAAATGTCTTCAAGATGGACAGGGGGACCATGAAGTGCCAGGCAAATCAAACACAAGCAGTCCCTGGCCTTGCTGACTCTGCCCTCTGGGAGGGGCGGATGCAGGCTTGATCCTAAACAGGACAAGCATTAGGAAGAACACATGTAGGGGCTGGGCTATGAAGAGGCTACAGGAGGTGGTGGTGGGGGCGGGGGGGGAAGCCTCAGTTTCCTGCCCTGAAAAATGCAGTTGGTACTGAGGGGACACCTCAGACAGTTGTAGTGAGGATGAAATGAGATCATGTGAAGAAAATGTCCAGCACAAGCAGTGCTAAATAAATGTCAACTATGTTAACTGCCTTATTATTGCTGCCAACTGTCAGGGTGCCAATCCACCTCTGGCCCCAACAATATCAAGAATTCAGTCCTGGAACCCAGAAGCTTCTCCTACTCTCTCCTTGCTCATTTCTCTCCAGTCCATGGGACTCCTTGGTGTTCCACAAACGTTCCGGGCATGCTCCCACCTCAGGGCCTTTGCATTTGCTGGGTCCTTGGTCTGGACCAATCCTTCCTCAATTATCTTCAGGCCTCCCTCCCTTCATGTCTCTGTTCAAATATTACTCACGCAGTGAAGCCTTAACTGCCCCCTCCCTAAAATGTTACTGCCCCCAACAACATTTCACTTCCCCCTTTTCTGCTATGTATTTTCTGCTATGTATTTGCTCCATAATGCTTGCCACCACTGGGCAAGGGAGCTACTTTCCTTATTTACTGAGCTTAGTAAAATACCAGCTCTATTTTTCCTGTCTTATTCACTGCTTTGCCCTCAGGGCCTAGAATGGAGACTGGGACGAAGATGCTCCACATGTATTGAGCCTGGTGCCTCATTTTATAAGTCAGGTCCAGAGAAGGTCGAAGTACTTCTACAAGGCCACACAGGAAAGGAACAGAGACAGAGGGAGGGAGACCTACGAAATTTGGAGAAACCAGTCTGTCCAGTCTCCTGCTTCTCCACTCCTCATCACCTTGCCTCCTCACAGCTCCAAGTCAAGAGGAGATAAAGCCTTTACTGAAGGTTTGGGGCATATGCAGGCTGTCTGCAGCCTCAGATCCCTGCATGGCTGTTCTTCAGAGGGTGAAGGGCATTTGGGGAAATCAGAACCAGACAAAGATGCAATCATGGGGAAATGGAGAAATGGCAGTCTCTTGGGGGAGCTCAGAATGCCTGAGTATGATTTGGTTGAAAGTGGGCAGGGTTTACCCAGGTGGGCAGAGCTGGACACCAAAGGAAGAGGCCTTTGAATCCTTACCCTCGAGTTTCCGGTGGTGAGTCTGAGGACAAGAGAGGTCAAACACCTTACTCCAAGACTCCCAGGAAACACCAGACTAATGGGGCAGCACTAGGGAGCGCCTACTGTATGCCAAGCACTGCATCAAAGTGGATGATCTCATTTCCTCTTCCCCCAAACACTAAGGAACAGGTAAACTTTATGTCCATTTTAGAGGTGAGGAAACTGAGGCTCAGAGAGGGAAAGTGGCTTGGCCCAGGTCACACAGCAAGAAGCAGTGGGGATGCCAAGCCCAGCCTATCCCAGGAAGTGCAGGAGGTTTTAGGTCCATAGGCTAGGTGCTTTGGGAACAAGCTAAAGAAACCATGGCATCATGCAGAAGGTACCCAAGTCATTAAAAAAAAAAAAAAAAAAAAAAAAATCACACCCAGAGCATGGAATTGCAAGTCCAGAAAGGGCCTCTGGTGACCTAGGACTCAACAAGAAAGCAAATGGCCCAAGGTCACACAGCCAGTGATGGCAGAGATGGTAATGCAAACCCGGGCCAGTCAGAGTAGAGAGCCAAAGGTGGTAGTGGACCCATGCCCACCCCAGGCAAGGGCTGTGCATGGCGGCTGTCCCCTGGCAAAAGGAAGATGTCAGAATGTTTGACAAACAAAGCTTGGTGTGATGGTGACATCCAGGCGGAGAGGCCTCCTGCAGCTCCCAGTCACCTGACTCTGGAGTTCTCCATGGCACTTCCTTAACCCCTGGGGACAGAGGGCCCAGGCAATGAGATTCCTTGCGTTCTACTGGAAGTCAGAGAAGAGTGGGAGAGCCGGTGCTTGCTGGAGCATAAATAGTAGGCACAGCAGGAAGGAGCCAGAGACCACTATCTGAGGGCAGAACAGGGGGTAAGGGTCTCTAAACCGTGGTCTGGTTTGGAGAATGGAGGGGGCTGATATACATGCAATGGGAAAGGGGCAAGGGCCGGACTTGGGGTTTGCATACGGGAGGAGCTTAAACTGGAAGATTTACAGTGCCCTCACCACTCGGGATACCGGAATAGAGGGATAGAGTAAGAGCTGAGGCTCCTCTTTGCTGGGGGAGTGGGTGGTCTGTGGCCACTGAAGCTGTAACTAGAATGGGGCTTAGGGGTAGGGCGGCGCCTGGGGCACTAGGTAGCTGGGGGGTCCCTGAGTTGCGGTTCCTAGAGCAGGGAGGCTGACGTGCCCAGATTTTGGGGGTGAGGTGACTGTTTGCTGCCCAGGGCCCTGGCTGGGGCACAGATGGGGCCCTCGGCTGTGAATTCCGGATCTGGGGAACCTGGGATGGGATGGGACTTTTAAGAG